GCGAAATATTCATAAAATTTTCACCATTATGATTCTGTTGAAGCTAACATAGCTAAATGTCACCAAAATACTAACTGTTGATACAGTTGGGTCATAGATGCGAAATTTACCGGAAAGTATAATGATTTTATTTTGCTACTTAAGACCAGATGTTGCTCAAAAATATTCGTTTGTTTCAAGTAGCAAACAAAATAATGTACCGGTTGTGGATATGAAAGCAGGAAAAGTTAAGGACAAAATATTTGGACAAAAGAACACCTGTGTGTTAGAATGAGTGGGAAAAATGAGGTTATAAGGAAGGACTGCATCATATGAAGATAGCAGAACAAAAAACGAAAACTTGCGCTACTGTTTGCTAACTTATCATATCCAAAGTTTGACTTGTTTCAATGATATCTTAGATAAAAGAGCTACAGTAAGAAGTAAAGTAGCTACAGGATACAGATTACCTGTTTACCATCCACACTAAGAGACGTATGTTTAAATGAATGTGACATTATTTGAAAATATCGAGGAGATGATAGCAAGGAAATCAAGTTGCGCAGATCAAATTGCAAATTCACGGGACGAAACATTTCAATTATTGATTGTTAATTTCTAATGGTTGAATAGAATAGATTAAAGTTCAAGAATTAGTAAGTGACATTACCAAGTTGGATTTGTGAAATTAAAAAACAAAAAGACATTATGATGCCATACAAAGAGAAGTTAAAATGTCAACAGTTTGCTAAAATAATAAAAACTGAGATGACCGGTGATCTTTTCTATTTTATTTCATTTTGCTGAACGGTCGGAATAATTTGAAGTTGGTGATAGTCCTTATCATCAACATCAGCTATAACTCATTGGATTTGTATAGCAGAGAAAAATGAGAAATTTCTTTACCCAAATTTGTTTGCAAAAAGTTCAAGAAGTGACAACGAGAGAAGTGAGCATATTTTGAAAGGTTAGAAAATATGTAAGACAAGTGGAAGAAGTGTTTAATGAGTACAAGTGATGATAAGCTTATATTATCAACGGTAACATAGAATAGCATACTAAGATATTAGTTGTATGCTATCAGATATTTTTAAAATTCGACTCAATGAAATATGATAAGGGTGATAATGGATGAAATGATAATTGCGTGGTAAAAATGAAATCTAAAGAAAAAATGAAATAGTTTTGAAAAAAAAATTCAAGAAAGAAACAGCTTGAAGTAGAACAGAAGGACCGCTTGCTTAATATGAATGTCAAATGCGTTGTCTGTCCGCCCTTTTCAGTTCCACTGCATGTCGTTTTCTTTTATTTTTTTTTGTGGCATCTTTTTCAGCTATGGCAAACACGTAAATGACGCATTTGCGACACTTTTTCCGGTGATCAATCACATACGATAATTTGAAGAATGTGCTAGTTCAATGGATTCAGGATCTATCATGTTTACAAAAATGTCATTTCTATTCCGAGGGAATTTCAAATTTTTGAAATTTGGATTATATTGTAGGATGACACCTTAGAGTGATACCACACTTTGTCGGATGATATCGAGAAAGATGCCCAGCGTATAAGAACCAATAAAAATCGTAATGAGATGAATTTTTCAAAAATATAAAACGAAATGCACATTTGTTATAATGCAAAACAATAGCTAAACTGCATTTTATTATTCTTCGAAAAAGTTTTTCGTACAAATTTTAAAAGCAAAAAAATATTTTACATTTTAGTGCGCAATGTTTAGTATAAAGTAGCAAAAATTATTATCAATAAGGTGATATTTATCAAAAGAACATATATCTTAAAGTTGTTGAACTGTACTGAATGGAAAGAGATCACTTATTTTGGATTGAAGTCTTATTTCTTGTTTTTTTTTTTTCTAACTTAACTACTGAGGTTGAAAAGTTTTTCAAAACTATCAACAATCGATTACTTGCTGAAACGAATATGTCGAAAGTTTTGGAGGAAGAGAACACAAGAAATTAATATTACTACAGGAGATTATGATCTCGAAGTAATAGGCATTACTATAAGAGATATGATCAAAATAATGGATGAAAGAATAATCGCGAAGGTCAACAAGCAATTACTATATTTTACTTGGGTCTGATATAGGTCATTAAGTGATTTGTAATCATAATTGCTATTGCTATTCTCTTATCACTTTATCTATGATAAGAATTTATTCTTGTAGTTATTTCAAAATCTTACGGGAAAAAGAAAAAAAGAAAAAAAAAGCTATTGCTAAATAATGAGAAAACAACCAGATCGCCGAAAATATTATCGAAGTGCAAATGTTATCAGTTTTGATCAAAACATCTGCAGTCCTTTCCATTTTTCAATTGTAAGCAAAACTATAATCATTGAAAAAAAAAAGAAATGTTATGTTATGTACTCAAGTATATCAAAACTGTAATCGTTAATTGAAATATGAAATTAAAAAAGAAGCTTTTTAAATTTCAGTTACTTGAAATCACTTTCATTCATTACTTTTTTCTTTCAATTTGACAAACAGTAATAACACCTCAGTCTTGGTTGACAATCATTATTTATTCTTAATTCAAAGCAAACATTAATTAGTATTGAATAATTATAATGGATAACTATGATATATGAAAAAATCATGAAAATTGCAATATTTTATCAGTATATTTCTTACACCTATTCAATTATACCTGTTAATGCATAGAATTGTATAAATGCTTATTGTTTAGCAATATATGCTAACAAAGAGCGCTTAATCAATGTTCGCAAACACAAGCGCTAATCAACTATAATCATATAATCAATTCTTGAAAGGTACACATAAACTCTGTATGCAGCAGGATTGACATTTTTTTTTTTTTCATTCACTAAATTAATG